CTTGAATAATGTTTTTGATTGTAATAGCCTGTCCTGGTTAGGGAAACCCACAGCCTCTCCCCCTTCCCCTCCCCTCTTCTGTAAACCCTAGTAGAAGTTAAAAAAACCCAGAGAGGTTTTTCTCACCAGTCTTATTTTACTAATAGGAAACAAGTGTTTAAAGGAGCAAAGGGAGCTTTCAGCTGCTGGCAAAGGAATAACTGACCTCGCAGAGAGGCGCTGGGGTCCGGCTCGCGGCCGGGGGCAAGTCGCAGCCCGGCACCTCGCTGCCGGAGCTTTGAGCCCCCCGGGACGGTCGCGCTCTCGGTGTCCCCAGGAGGGACAGGCCATGTCCAGCTCCAGTGTCACACACCAGCGAAACCACAAAACGCCGCAACTGGGGAACATGTTATTGTTCGCCCTCACGGCGCCGCTCAGCCTAAGGAGCCCACGCCATGAAAAAACGAGTCCCCGTTTGGTTCGGTGCTTGCAACAATTTTGTTTCTTGAGTGAAGGAGAAAAAAACCCATATCCTAATTTTCTGGTTTTCACCAAAAAAATCCGAAAGTCTTGCTGAGCTGGAAGGGACCCTGGAGCGATGGGGGAGGACCGTTCCCAAGGCTGGAGCAAATCCCGGCTGAGGATGGGTGATGGCGTGGGTGGGGGGTGCCGGGAGCCCCCCCGGTGCTGGTGCACGGAGTTGGGGTGCAGCCATCTCCCGCGCACACGATCCGACAGAGCCTCCCACTGCAAATCCAGCGTTCGTGGCCGCCAGCTGTCGGCGGAGCTATTGCCGTGTGGGATGAGCTGCGGGTGGATGCGGTGGTCCCGCCGTGGGGCGGCTGCGCGGGAGAGGAGCGCGGCGGGTGGGCGCAGGGTGCTCTGAAGGGAAAGGGAGAGGGCGGGCGAGGAGAGACCTCCCCTCATCCTCTGCCCTCGAACATCCCTTCGCACCTCTCCTGTCTGTCCCGTGGTTTTCCTCTCCGAGAGCCGTGTTTGCTGCCGCTGGGAACGTGGGGTTTTGCTTGGGGGGGATTGAGATTCACCGTGTCTGCCTGCCCGACCCCCGACGTTGGGCTTTTCCTCGCCTGTGCCTGGAGAAACGGTCCTTCCAGCAGCCGCCCTCCTCCTCTGCCGCTTCCCTGATGGACACAGCAGCTCTGGGAGCCCAAAAGCCGCCTTTCCATAAGATGCAAGAGGGGGAAAAAAGAGAGGAAGAAAGAGAAATCCTGTGGTTATTATATACTTCTGCTCTGAGGAGCCCCACGGCGCCTGCAGCGCTGGTTATGGCTAAGGACGGTGCTGGTGCGAGATGGGGCAGGTTACAGGAGAGGGACCGGCCGTCCCCGGGGGGCTGTGTTGGGACCCCCAAACCCCGACCCTCTGGGGGATCCGCGAGCCCGGCGCTACCCCAAACACCGAGCCCAGGGATGCTGCGGCTCCCGGGAAGCTTTGGGTTGGGAACATCCCGCGGCGCCTCCCTGGACACGTCTCCCCCTCCATCTGGGCTCTGTCGCTCCCAGGGCTGGTGCTGCGGGTGATTAAACGCTGTGGAGCTCTTTGAAGATGAAGTTCGCCGTGTTCGTGTTAAATATTAGCATGACTAGCCCCGGGGCTAGCGGCACTGCATTCAAAAGGCATATCTTTAATAGTGTCTTTTTTTTTCCCCAGCAGCCTGTCCCAGACTGTGCTTTGCACCTAATATATACTTATATTGATATACGCACCCACACATTTTCTTTTTGGTTTCTTTATTTTTTTGTGTATGTGTGGGTAGGAACTTAGCGATCGGGATCGGGATCCAGAATTTCCCGGAGGGCCTGGCCGTCAGCCTGCCTTTGCGCGGCGCTGGATTTTCAACGTGGAAAGCGTTCTGGTAAGCCGAGCTCCTCTTTCGCCCGTGGGATCGAGAGCCCTTGGTCGGCAGCTCCTGAGGAGAGGGCGCCTATAGATTTTCTCCCCATGCCCGTGTGTGTGCCTCCATCGTTGAGCTGCCCTTGGGATGGGTTTGCTCCAGACCCGCCGCATCCCCTCCTAGCATCCCGGAGAGCCGCTGCCGGGAGCGCTGCAGGTTTCCAGCTTTGAGGAAGGGCGCTGAGCGCTGCCCTGCGCCCTCCGCAGCGCCCCAGCTCCGCTCCCAGCCCCCCATCCCGGGGGATGCCCCGGTCATCCCGGTGGGTCACCCCATAACCGCTTCAGCGGCGCGCCGGTGGCGAGCTCCCACATCCTGCGCTAAACAGGCTTGGGGTTTTGTTTGGTTTGTTTGTTTGGTTTTTTTTTAATTTTTATTTTATTTCATTTTTTTTCCTCTCGCTTCACTCTGGGCTGGATTTCAAATCCACTTTTTATTTTCTCTTTTCCTTTTTTTTCCCTGAGGTGAAAAAGCCAAGGGCATGAACTCTGCGAGCGCAGGGCTGCGTTCCTGCCCGTGCACGTGTGCCGGGCCGGGTGATGGATGGGAGGGCAGGGGGGCGGCGTGCGAACGCCTCCCGCCAAAGCCTTGTTTTCTTTTCCTCCCACCCACCTCCAATTCAGTGAGCGCAGCCGGTGCCGGGACTTGCACCGGGATTGCTGCTGCCGGGAAGGGAGTTCCCGTGGTCCGGGGAGTTACAACGGTCCTAGAGGGAAAGAAAATGAGGGGGAAGAGCACAATTTCATCCTGGTTGAGGCTGTGGCCAGATGTCCTCTTTGGGACTGAGCTACGCTGGTTGGAAATGTTTCAGAGAATTTCATGGAACAGTTTGGGTCGGAAGGGACATTTAAAAGCCATCTCGTCCAACCCCCAGCCACGGGCAGGGACATCTTCAGCCAGACCAGACTGCTCAGAGCCCCGTCCAACCTGACCTGGGATGTTTCCAGAGATGGGACGTCCACCACCTCTCTGGGCAGCCTGGGCCACTGTCTCACCACCCTCAGCGTAAAACATTGCTTCCTCGTATCCAGTCTAAATGTTTCCTCTCTGACTCATCCGGGCCCGTGAGTCGGATGCCCAAATCCCGCTGAGCTCTTCAGGGAAGGAATCGGATCGTGCCTTAATTCCCTTCCTGGAAAAATCAGCTGGGTTAGGTCAAATCGCCTTCATTGCCCGTTTAAAATAATCCAGGTGGCTTGGCGTGGCGGGGCCAAGGCCAACCTCCTCTGGGGCACGGTGGCATTAGGGAGGACCGTGGGGCTGGGGAACTGCAGAGCCCCGGGAGGGCTGTGCCGCCCCTCTTGCCGGGTCCCCGGTGGCTTTTCATCTCGATCTTCTGCAGGTACGGGCAGCTGAGCGGCATGGTGGAGCCCTTAGCTGGCGTCTTCGGTGCCTTCGCCGTGGTGGTGGCAGAACCTCTCCTCCCCTACGCCTTGGGCTTCGCCGCCGGAGCAATGGTCTACGTGGTGATGGACGATATCATCCCCGAGGCACAAACCAGGTGAGAGCCCTTCGGTGACCGCCGCTAAATGCAGATAGACACTGGGGGGAAGCGCAGAGGACTCTGGAAGATCCCTTCCTTTGCCCGGATGAGGTATACAGCAGCGCTTCCCTCACGCGCAAAGCCGGTCCCGGCTCCCGGGAGCTCACGCCGTCCCCTTTTCTCCCTGCAGTGGCAACGGGAAGCTGGCTTCCTGGACCTCCATATTGGGATTTGTGGTGATGATGTCCCTGGACGTTGGGCTCGGGTAGGGCAGCGCGCCGCTCCCCGGGAGAAGACTTCAGAGCCATTTGTGCGGCGGCGTTTGGAACTGGACACACGTTATCCTCTGGACTCTTTTTTTTTTTTGTGTACATATATGTTTTTGTTTTGGATCTGGTTTGGTGTTGATTTCCTATAATTTTATATCTCTTCCTCCCCTCCAACGTCATGTCGATGGTTTTCAAAGCACAAATACGGGTGGTTCCTCGCCGGTCCTGGTTTTCTTTCGCCACCAGATTTTCTTTTCCTCTCGGGAGGGTCGTTGGAGGCCGCCTCGGCGGGGCTGCAGGTCACCCCGTCCTCTCCCTCCCGCGCTGGGCTGCTTTCTCTGGCAGGGCGCTCTGGGGTTTGATCATCTTTGTTCTGTAGAAGATTAGAAATTCACTGTCGCGTGTTTAAGCTGGTCTGTGGTTGAGTACCGAGGTATTTGAATGGAGTAAACTCCGGACAGAGTCTCAATTTCCGCACTTTTTTCGACAGGCGGGTGGAAGGCGTTGGGGCTCAGGTAACACGTAGAGCACTCTGTGGGATCGCAGGTGTATCCTGCTGGTCCTTGGGAATGTTTTAGCGTATTAGTTTTGATGGACGCAAATAGTTCAGGCAAATAAAAATGAATTTTCTTGGGATCTCTGTAAGAGGGAAATGTCATTTCTTCTTAAATTTATCTCCGAAGTGGAGCTTTGTTCCAATCCGTTGTGTTCAATACCTTGAGGTTTTTTCTTAAAAAAAAACCCAAAAACAGACAGGAAGAAGATTTGTGTTTTCTAGCCTGTACTCTTTGAAAAGGCAAGCTGTGGTGGTCCACGTTGTCCGTGGTGTGTTGCCTGGCTGGTGCGCAGCAGGACACCTTTCCACGTGGGGTCGTGACTCCCTCTGGCCTTCCCGAGGGAGCGATTGCTGGTTTTCGGCTGCTGGTTCCAGTGGTTCCGAACTCCCCAAGAGCCACCGTGGGTTTTTCCCGGCGCTGGCCCTGCTTGCGCTTCACCCCGCGGACGAGCTGGGAGCAGAGTCAGGACCGGAGCGTGCCGCCAGCTCCCGTCTTCCTGAGCAGCATCAGGATGAAATAAATTCATCAGGGTGAATTAATTACCTACCCGAAGAGCCAGAAACACGCGCCGTGTGTACCTGCCTCTTCGCCCTCTGCTTTCCAAGCATCTCTCGGTGACCGGCCGCTCCTGAGCGGGCAGGACGAGTGGTGGGAGGAGGAGAACGCCGAGGTGGGAAGGATGCTGCAAAGCACACCTCCCTCTTCGCTCAGGATGCTGCCGCCTGCGGTAAAAAAGGGGGTCGTTAGCCCCTCTGGTAGGAATAACTGGATCACCCGGCTGCCGCCCGCCTGCAGCTCAGCCCCTCCGCGGGCTCTCGGGGAGGGCTGCGAGGTGTGTGGGGGGGTCACGGAGCATCGTTCGGTCCCGCCGGAGAAGCTGCGGGAAGGGCAGCCAAAGGGAACAGGCTTGAATAAACTAAGCGAGAGCCGTGCATTTTTGTTTGGTTCTTTTTTATTTTTTTTTTTTTCGGTTGGATTTCATTCGTACTTCATTTGTGTGTCACTCTGGATGATACAAAACTGCTGTTTGCCAATGGATTTGACCTTTTAACTGTGACTGGTTTCAATAAATGGGAAATTCAGAGTTTGCACTGATTTATTTTAATGCTGTAGAGCCGTACCTTTGCTTCTCCCTCCGTTCTGCTACGTTTCGTTTCTCCAGCTCAATTGTTCCTGGCTTGTCAAAGGTCCTGCCTCTCAACCGGGCAGGCAGCCTCTTTGGGGAAGGAAAAAAAAAAAAAAAAAGGGAAAAAAACGCTGAAGAAAGGCAGCTGTGCGGTGCCTCATCCAGGCACCCGCCAGCGTGTTTCGGGGCTCCCCGTTTGCTGCAGCCCAATCCCTGGGGGAAGGAAGCAGCTCTGCCTGCTCCGACCCGGGGCGCAGGTTCCGCGGCGGCTCACGGGGCTGTACGCACACGCACACACGTGTAGGTGCCGTCCCTGGTTCGGCTCAGCCCTGCGGGGGGCTGCGGCCGCATCCTGCATCCCCGGGAGGAGCCGTGGGGGTGATGCTGGTCTGGGGCAGGCTGGAGCGCTGCCGTCCCGGAGGATGGGGTGGGAAGGGGGACCTGACCTGCCCTGGGATCCACCGGGCTGTGGAGGTGACCCGGGTGTCTCCGGGCACAGGGGAAATTTGGGGTGACGGTTCCCACATCCAGCAACAAAACCCCTGCAGCCGGTGTCTCCTTCCCAGTGCCACCAGCAGAGAGGCTGGGCAGTCTCCCACTGCTCTTCACCTCGTTTCTAGACACAACAGAAGTGTTTGTTAAGCTTTTAGCCCTCAGTTTTCAGCTGAAAGCCTTCGTGTGAAACTTAAAAATCCTCAGAGGTGTCCACGGGTCGGGATTTCTCGCAGACTGTTGGTGATATTTTCTTGTTTGATTTCTGGCGCGTGGTGTAAGTTGGTACAAAGAGCCCCACATTATACATTTAAAGGCAGCCTTGTAATCAGTTTGCTGCGAGATAATATCGCGTAAAGCATTTAATCCCGCTTAGATGTAGCCAGCCGAGATAATTATGTACATTGGACCCGCAGGAAGCGAGTGGGGAGGGCGATGCAGAAAGCACCTATGTAAATCCTTCTTTTCTGTTTGTACCCTGGAGGTGAATGAAATTATATATCTAGTCCTCGGCACGATGGAGAAGCTGGCGGGGGGCCAGGCCTGAAATTACCCATGGAAACGAGAGCTGTCATTGGAAAGGTGGAGTTTGGAGCAAAGGCGATAAAACCACCGGGCAAGTCCCACCAAATGGAGACGGGCTCTGCTCCGCGGCCCGGAGGTGCCGGTTCTCACACCGAGCCCGAGCTGGAGGGGAAGGAGAGAAAGGTTTTATCATCATGGAATCACAGAACGGTTTGGGTTGGAAGGGACCTTGAAGATCATCTTGTTCCAACCCCCCTGCCCTGGGCAGGGCCACCTCCCCCCAGCCCAGGTTGCTCCAAGCCCCGTCCAACCTGGCCTTGAACACCTCCAGGGATGGGGCAGCCACAGCTTCTCGGGGCAACCTGCCCCAGGGGATCACCACCCACACAGCCAACAATTTCTTCCTAATATCTCATCTAAATCTGCCCTCTTCCCACCTGAAGGTTTGAAATGTCCTTTGAGCCCCTTACAAGCCTAATACTAAATTGTAGCATCAATTCTGGTGATTTCCCCCCGCCCCTACTAATTTTTCAGTAAAGCCTCACACAGCATACAAAAAATTTAGATTCTTGTGTTTTATCTTAAAACGATAACAACGTTTTGCATTGGCCGGAGGAAAATTTAAACTGTGGCTCCCCTCCATCCAAAAGCCTCAAACCCCAAAATATAAAGGGAAAG